TGCTTTATAGAGCTGAAGGTTTCCTATTAGACCAGAGGTTCTCTGTGAACATTGTGGATGGCTTGGCATCGCTTTGGCAAGTATTGCTAACAGTCCATGTACAAGATTGGTTAACAGGGTGACCGATTTAATCGATATTGGTGTTTGTTTTGCAGCAATCACGAGGGTCATTGTCATTGGGGTTCTGTATTGCATATCATCATTGCTAATAATAATGAGTTTTACAGTCATATGAGCGGGATGGGTCGAGTTCGCCAGTTCATGCGGTGCATATTGATTGATGCAGTCATGGATCGGAAATAAACACTATATATATACTAGTGAATGTAAATGGTGTGAATGGTCCACCAGGGTATCAGGTATCTGTGTGGTTTCACCATGGGATTGAGCCGAAATGTTCATGTCGAAATGCTAACACATTAGCAGTCTTCTTGGTTCTCCTGACAACCAATGTAAAATTGCCCTTGACAATAAAGGGTAAATTTATATTAATAAGATTTATAATTTAATTATATTTTCTGGTTAGCATTTTTTCAACGGGTTGATTTTCTACGGGATCGAATTTACGACCCTATGCTCAACCCTCCCCAATTATTGAGGCTTGAGACCGGCAGTAGCACCAGATGAGCTCCAGGCAGAGTTTTCACGTTTCATAAAATAAAATAATTCATTGCACCGAGTCAAGTTAGTAGTAATATGTTACTAATAATTTACATGTAAACTCTGTGAAATAATTTTTTATGAAAATGATTATCACCAAACAGATTCTATGAAACTTGATTATATCCCGTCAGTCAGTCAATCATCATTCATAGGCATGAATTCTAGTAATCATAGTATACCACTACAGAAAGATAAAAGTATCGAGATGAATACCAAGTTCGTCACAGTGACAGAGATAATAGATGTATGAAATAAAAAAATGTAAATAGTTTGATAACTTAAAATCTGAGTAATAATAACAAGTAAATACATGTATCATTGTTAGACCACCATTAAAAACCTGGAAGCACTGAACGACGGCCGTTTCGTCCTGGTATGGGACTCATCAGCAGTGCACATCCCATACCAGGACGAAACGGCCGTCGTCCAGTGCTTCCAAGTTTCTAATGGTGGTGATCTAACAATGATTGATTGATTGATGATTTCAAATATGTAGTATAAAAACACAAACTTCCAAAACTCTGCCCGAAAATACATGATGTATGTTGTTAGTAAGTCAGCCACACCAACTAGCACTTCCAGTCATTGATTATGTTAATAATAATAATTCAGAATTTAATCAAGAGTAGTCCTACATCTATCATCAACACATAGCTCAAACTGTGTGTGTCAACCGACCGACCCTATAGACTAATCGCTTACAATTTTCTCTCAATCTATTTTTACACCAAACAACATATCCGTTTCAAAATATAGACACAATAGTTATGCATACTTATAATGGGGGTTATACAATTTCAGAAAATGTCTTCTTTAACAATGAATTATCTCATTTCGCTATTTTTTTTAATCATCATCTTCTTCTATACGATAGAAGTATGTCAGATTGATTTACAAGTTGTTTTTTTAAAAAATATTAGAAGTTGTTTTAATTCTTTCCATATACAACATAGAAAAGTCGATTTGTTGTTGTTGTTTTTACTTATTATTCTTTTTATTTTCTTCTTTTAAACATGATTTTCTTTCCCTTAAAGATCACATGACACGATGGTATATGGTTGGTGTTGTCGTTGTTGTTGTTGTTGAGTAGTAGTCAGTGAAATTATTTTCAAATAATTGAATGAATGAATGAATAATGAATAGTGATAAAAAGAAAAAATCGATCGTCAACGCTTAACGCAACTTAACTTAACTTAACTACTAGTTGAATAAAACATTAAAAAGTATTCATTCAAATCGACACAACTTTTTTTTTATATCATATCAATTACACATGAATTCTTATCAAAATAGATAAATATATTCAGATTCATTCATTTTACCAAGTTAATATAAATAGAAAAGCATAATGAAGTAGTGTAGTGAAGGAGAACACAGGTGGGGCAACCGAATTACAGAGTTACTCAATAAAATCGGAACACCATATCGTAAATCGTTAGTTTGCAAATTATCAGTCCATCATATTAAACTGGACTGTTCCTGTTGCAAAACATCAATCCATTGTCACTATTCATGCGTTTCATACAAATTCCATTGTGTTCTAACTCTTTCTTTCTTGATCTTCCCCCCATGTTCTGCTGCCAGACATTACGTTGACACTCACGTCATATACTACTTATAAGTAGCGCGCACCACAGTAGTAGTGACTTAGAAGAGAAAAAGAAAACCCGATTAGAGAATATGAATTTGTACTGATTAGTTTTGAGTAATTTTTTTTTGATGAATAATCATATAAGATGAAATAAATTGATTAATTTATGACACCAAATGAGTGTTTTGCATACTTCGTTTGATAGATAGTTAGTTTCCTCATATATGTTTTAATTAGTTAAAGCTGATTATATGAATGATCTTATTATACATCAATAAAAAGTACTGATGCCATCCATATAAACTATGATAGTACAAAATAGCTGTTGATATTTCTTTCCCTTCACCTATGAATGTCAAGTAAATAATGTTTTTTGACCCGTGTTAATCTTACTTACTTACTTACGCCTGTTACCCGCAATGGAGCATAGGCCGCCAACCAGTTTCCTCCAACCAACTCTGTCCTGGGCTTCCCTCTCCAGTTCTGTCCAATGTTCGTTCATTCCTCTCATATCTTTCTCTGTTTCTCGGCGTAGTGTGTTCTCTGGTCTTCCTCTTTTCCTTTCGCCTTGAGGGTTCCATGTGAGGGCTTGTCTTGTGTCGCAGTTTGGTGCTTTTCGTAGTGTCTGTCCTATCTATACTACAATGTTTTTTTTTCCTCTTTAACATCATGTGTCAAGTAAATAATGTTTGACCCGTGTTAAAATCAGGCTTCATCATATTTAACATTGAATGAAAGAATATTATAAATAAATCATGCAAGTTACAGTTCCGAGAAATCTCTAGGAGTAATCGCTTTTAAAATCCGAGATTACTTCATTTGGTTCTCTATAGTATGATTGATTATATCAGCATCAACAAAAAAAAACATCTGCCCTCTTTCGTTTGAAATGTTTCATTATTATCAAACTGAAAAAATTTTAAAAAATATTCTAATATATAAGGTGAAACTAGTGACTAATTTTGATAGTTAATTCTCAAAATTCTTACAGGAAGTTATGATTGGTAAAGTTTAATCATGTTGAGTGAAACGCAGTCACTCATTGATGGAATCAGGATGAGATCACTGAATATCTGACTAACAATTTCAAGATTGTGAAACCTGAGACTCCTGGATTTGGTCATCGAAGGAATAGTGACTATTCACTACTGAGGAGTTTCCTGGTTTTCAATAATTACAGTTTACTAAGGTTAGTTCATAACTGGAAGAAACTATGAAACTGAGCAATCTCCTTGAATCTTTTACGCTGATAAAAGCCTTAAACATAATCATTAAAGTTGAGTATGACGTTTCGATAAGTAATAAAAGCAATTTCTAAAAAGTTAATTTGATATAACATGGGAAGTGACCAATTTCAAGTTATCACTTTTTACATAAATCCCAAGAGTTCGACACCATTATCCAGTAGTTGAAAAAGAAAGAAAAGTCTCCAACTAATAAGTTTTTGATTAGTCTAAATGCTATGACTATTATTGTTTGAGCTATAAAAGCTAAGGAATAATCGGCATTGAATACATTGTTTGATTGTAATCTGAAGCGCTATCAAGGATAATAAGAGTGCTTCTCGCTTCATATTTGCCAACGTCATGGAGACACACTTCTTTCTTAAGTTACCTAGACGGGGAACTGTGTTAGTGATGGTCTGAACGACTCGTGAGCCTAACTAGAGTGTTCAAGGGATAACCACTTGAGGCCGGTCGTACCACTAAGAGACGAAATTTTTCTTACTTATCTTCATATGATGTCTGTGGATCGGTTATAGCGCTTCAGTGTACCTTCACATGCATATCTTTTAACTTTCTTCTTCTAAAACCGTATTCCAAATGTTACATTACTCTGATTGTCATTGCTACCAAGTAATCATTTCGATTAACGCACACTTTCCATTTTCGTTTTGTTAACATATTTATTATGGTATGACAATTTACGCCGATATATACATTTATGTCAAGGTCACTGTGTGATAGATGATAATGCAACCAATGTAAATTATTATTAAATCGTTCGAATGCTTTTCACTCATTCATATAACAAACACAATATGATTGCGATAGACCGAACGAAATACAAGGCAAAAAACACAAGACATGAAAACAAACGTGATTTTTCTTTTTTCAAAACTCTCAATTAAATGAAATGAAAATAGAACGTATTAATAATACAATATATAGTATGAGAAAAAACAAAACAAATAAAAATCAACTCAAGGCAAATAGGCAAGTAAATATTATATATATATATATATATATATATATATATATATATATATATATATATATATAGGGATTGGTTCAACTGTTTGTTCACTTAAAAAAAACCAAATATATATATATGTTATGTATATGTCTATGCAGTTAGATAGATATTATGTAACAATTGTAATTAAGGGCAACAAATAATAACGATATACACAAGTGTTTTTAAGAGAACAAAGAAAAAAAGAGTAGTAAATTAGACTTTTTCAAGGGAAACAAGTGGAGTTTTAATGATTGATTAACAAATTCATTGGATTTCTTCTTATGAATAAAAAAAAGAAACTCAGAACAGATAATTTTGTAAATTTTTTTAAAAGTTATTTATATATATAGTGTCCTAATTATTTAAAATCCTATTTCAGTAGTGAGTTTTTTTCTTCCTCTGTTCCTCCAAAAGAAGTAATCCAATCAGTCTGATAATTTATTCATTAAAACCCAACTGTATTTCTTACTTTATAAAGTCTAATTTCATATATCTTTTCTTTTTCTTCCTAAAATGATTCAATCATCAGTGTGGCTGAACGAGGACGTGAAGATAAATCCATAGCGACCATTTCATTTGTTTGTGATGAAGTCAAAGTCCGGTCAGTTGTTGGTGTTTCAGTTAAATTGGATAAAGTTTTATTTTTCAATGCAGCATTCCATTGTGTTTCATCGATTGCTGATTGTTGATATGCAGGATCCATTGGAATAGGAAAAGATTCATTGAGCTCTTGATTAGTACTACTAGTAGTGGTATTATTATTATTATTATTACATTGTTCTACAGTGGAACAAATTCCTTGAACAACTGCTTTCATACAAATATCAAGTTGTGCCGGAGTTAGTTCAGTGAAATTACAACCTAAATTAGGCATTGTTGTTGACCAAGTTGATGCATTCCATTGTGGTGAAGAAGTATTAAAACAATCTATTGAACGATTATGATTATTAATATGATTATGATTATTTATTGAATTTAAAATGGATTGTTTATCATGGCTACTATTATCATTGAATGATTGAAATGATAAACTACTACTACTATTCGAATTTGATTTATTTGGTAAATTCATGAAATTCGACGATGGAATAAAATTTGGCAAATTTAAATTTGTTGTTTGTGAATTATTATGGCATAGTTTAGATATTGACTGATCTATTAATAATTGTGTTGATGTACATGTTGTTGTTGTATCGGGTATATGAAATGCACTTGGAAAATTGGCTAGATTAGCAAAATTTTTCGACACGGAATTCAATGATTCCATTAGTATATTTGAATTGTTAAGAGATGTTTGGTTATGATGATTAAAATCATTATTATTATTATTATTGCAATGATCCAATGTTTGTGAAGTAAACGAATTTACAGATAAACGAGAATGCATATCATCATTATCCATAAAAGAGGATGGTGGTGTTGTGGTTGTTGTCGTTCCTGCTGCTGCTGCTACTACCACTGAATTGTGAAATGATGAATGATTAGATGAAACAGTGTTGTTGTGTATTCTTGAATCATTATTATTATTACTATTATTATTATTGTTGGTACTATTTGTCGATAAAATGCACTTTGATTGATGACGATTAACAGCACTAACACAGGTGAATTGTTTACCGCATATACGACATTGCATTTCTGTCGTGCGTAAATGCATTTGTAAATGAATAATTTTCATATGATAACGCATACTACTTTTAATTTCATAAATTTTTCCACAAAATTTACAAACATATAATTTTCTGCCATTGATTTGACGTTCACATTCATCAATTAGTGTATTTAATTTATCAGCACTAGTTAAACGCCAACGTTTTGAATCAACATGAAATCTATTCGTGGTTGTTGTTGTTGTTGTGGTGGTGGTGGTGGTTTGAGAATCATACAGTTCTGCAGAATTGTTATGATCGTTATTATCACCATTGTTATTATTATTATTATGTTGATCTGAAATATCCAAAGACGATACATGTTCATCATCAAATTGTTTATCATGATTTGTAGTTGTAGCTTTTCGAATTGTTGTTGTTGTTGTTGAATTTCGATTTTTTAAGTAAATTTTAGAGTTATTTACCGCCATATTTATCTGTTTAATGTCATTATTATCGATTATTTCAGATGTTGGTGTTGTTCTAGATACTTCTGGTTCTTCTTCTTCATCGACATTATCACATTTATCAACAATCATTGAATAATTCTCATCAACATCAATTACACTGGATGTATTTGTAATCGGAGAAGAAAGACATTTATTTGAATAGTTGTTTGAATAATGGTTTTCATTCATTGGACTAAGTTTTTGACAAGAAGAATTAGAATTGGTGGATTCTGTTCTAAGATTTCCATCACGATTTGAAGCGATGCCAGAGTCACATAGATTTTCGTCCGTGTCTCCTTCATCTTCTTCTTCTTCAACGACCACTTTAAGTTGTGATTCTTGTTGGTCGGTTACTTCGAAATCATCATTCTAATGCGAAAAATGAATGAATAAGTAAAAAAGCACCATAACACATGTACATTAAATAAAGTTTTGAAATGCGATATTTTTCGTTGAAAAGCTTTCAAAAATTTAAAAAAAACAACAAATGAAATTAGATAACAAAGTATACTAATGTAGAATTTATTCACATATACGCAGGAAATTTAAAGCTCATGTCATTTTACTTTAACTACAATAGAAGCATCAAATATTTTACATTCTAAGGTGTATTCAAAATTTGGTGAGTTATGGATAATGGTTTCACCAAAAGGGAAGTGGAAAATAAATAGCTATCTTCTTGCTAATAAATAATATTAGGTTAGTTATTCAGTCGGGCAACTCAAAGATAAGTGACCATACTGAATAAAATAATGCATGAATCTAAGATGTCAGTATTTGGGACAGTATTAAAGGGAATTAGAACAACAAGCGAAGAGTTTAACGGAGAACAAGGAAAACACCAGTAAATGTGTGACAGTAATAGAAAGTTCTTGAATGAAGAATATATCACATTCATATCAGTATGATCGATTTCCAGATATTTTGTTAGATATAGAAAGCTGGTAATTTAAAAGTCATGAGAAATATAGCCAGAAAGTATCCACATTTCATTAGGCTTAAGTTACTAGTTATTAGTTTTATTAGTTGTTCTAGTGACTGACTTTAATTAAAAAGAATGTAAGCTTAGATCGAACAGTGTACAGAAGGAAGTTCAACTACCGTTGACGAGAGGTAGGGTAGAAACATCAAAGATGTTTTTAACTTCAATAATTATACTACACTATCAAAGACTGGTGCGTCACTAATGTTAATTCAACTTTATACATAAAATGAAATGAACTGTAACTACAAGCTAAACACTTTTGTTTTAAAAAAAGATAAACTGTTTCGAGATCAAACTTTAAGATGGTCAAAAAGCTTCACATATATAATGCTTGATACATATGAAAGCAAAACTAGTTATATTTTGATTACAATTCCAAATTTTTTCTAGTCGAAGATACATAGAAGACATCAACACAAGATTAAATTGATGGAATTACTCTTAAAAAATGTCAATCCAATTAAACAAAGATATTTTGATCAATAAAAGGATGCTTTTTCTAATTTCTGTTATGTTGCAGGGCAAAAGACTAGTTCCAGATAATAGCTTCTAAGCAATTTTGAAACTTTTCTATGTGAGAATTCAATTCCAAATTACACTAACATTCTAATACGTAGTATGGTTGTAAATAAGTATCTCAAATAGGAAAACTATAGTTATATTAACGATCTACACCTAAAACAAACCTCTGGTTCAACGGAGAGATATGACAGAAGGTATAAGGTCGCTTTCTAAGCACTATGATGGGTTATCGATACACATTTCCTCAACACAGCTTGATTCGTTTACTCTCGCTTTCCGTTCTGCGCAAAAAATTGCATCAAGTCAACTTTTGAAGCTGAAACTGTCCGTGTTGGCGAATTGTCAGGGTATACGGGGGCTTAACATATTGTTTTTAATTGAATTGGTTAGATATAAAGTCATATTAACATATTATGAAGCATACTAGAATATAAGTTATAACATGACTAATAAAAACCACTCCCCACTCAAAGTACAAGTATTTGCTAAAGTTAAACTAAGTAAAATTACTATCTCATTCTAAAATTGTTTGAGAACGAAAGCATTAAAAAACTAAGTAATTCGGTTTAGAAGGCTTCACATGAATAACCGCCTAGCAGTTAGTGGGAGAACGATATTCCAAAACATCCTATGCCTTACCTAGACAAGACATTAAACTGTCTGAAACGCGACGATGACATTTTCGTACAGATCTATAGGTTAATTGTAAGCCAACAGTCTTAAAACTCAAAACATCATTGCTGTAATTTAAAACCACGGTCAACTTTGGGATTGAGTTGATAAAAACCATGTACTTATGTGAGAGAATGGACTCACTTCACTAAGGGATTGTGTTTTCGAGAAAAAGCCAATCGGCGAATCATTGTTTATCATGCAATGTAGATAAGACGGATACTTCCAAGGCGTTTGGAAGCCTGTGAATTTCTCAGTTCCATTTTTTGAAGATGTACACATGTTGAGTATTACATAACTAATTTTCTCCATCAGATGAAATGAAACCTGGAATGCTGACACAAGTTCACTAGATGATAACCTGTTTGCCAATATTGATGCATTTTGCACCTAAAAATAGTGTATATTTTCAATCCACACTATCTTACCATTTTCGTAAATTTTTCCAGATGTTCTGTATTTATTTCTTGTCTGTCATGGTCTTTGCACTCACTATCACTACTCGAGCACTTCATGACTCCAAAAATGAACAAATTTCCTGGCTAAACAAGGTCACTGGTAGGTATGTCGCCAGAGTAAACAAACAATTCAACTCCGCAAAGCTTGATCAATATTGTAGCAGCATCAATTCATTCAAAAAGTGCGATAAAGTCTTCTTGGTAAGCAAGAAATGTTGAATACTCTAAAAAATTACTTTAACTTCAGCGATGCTATAGAATATAAACCACCCCTGCCTCTTTGATGGTAGCAAGTAGTGAGATTCATGTAACATGTAAGATATCATTAAAAATCCTAGTAGATCTACACTTTTGAAAACTAAAGTAGTGTTGTGACACATGTTAAGCATGTCGAAGGTACATACAGTTCATCGCGTTATGATATCATGTTGTGTGTCTCAGTTAATAAAATTTTGGTTCGTAGAGTTCTCCTCAAGCAAGACCAAACCATAAGTTACACCTTTACTTTAGAAATGACAGAAGACTAGATACTCCGTGTTAGTCTTTGGGGGAGATTTTTCTCAGTCAATGTATATTTTTTTATTTTGACTGCGTCTACAGATGGGATTCCAACCCCGTTTTGTATTAAGCAGTCACACTAGTTGATGATTTGGTGGGAAAGTCGCTAGAAAAATAAGAAGTAGTTTGTCCCAGACTTGTGACCATTTTTAGAGCATCCCCTTAAATTCTTTGTTTATGAAGGCTTTCCATATGTGCGTATTATTCAATTATTTCTTCTGTACATTTATTGTGGCTGATCCGAGATCCGAAACTTCAAGTTGGGCTCATCGAGTTCTCCTCTCTTTGGATGGTACTTATGTATCTCCCAGGCTTACTGAGTTAGACTCATAACCCTAGCCTTGAAATGGAATCATTTCTTGGACGGTCAGACACATTTTCAAGCGTGGATACCTATTAAGACTACATAGAATGATTTGAAATCTGGTGCATGATCAGAAAAGTTGTTCAACATTATAAGGTCTCAACGCTATTCCTGAAATTAACTAGTAAATATAAATTAACTTGCTGTAAAATATTTCCCTACCCAGGCAAAACTTCATTATTGTTATTGTAGGATTTAATTTGTCCCACAGATGTAATTCTAAAACAGTTAACGCAATACTGCCACTCACAGAATCAATGGTAAAGCTATAGTCAGAACAAGGAAAACTTGGTTTAAAACATTATCTGTTTCTAAACGAAAAACGATTAAATTAGTACAATAAATAAGGAAATTACAATTATCAAGTAAGATGAGCAAACCTACCGGCCAGTTTAGCGTGTCTTTAGAAATGAATCAAAACTCGAGTCACATCTATATAAAATAAAATAATAACATCCTTCAATCGATAGGTCATTCACAACAAAGAAAGTCTGCAGACCGATCAGACTAGATAACGTGGTGAGCGCTTAACCAGTCTGATTGGTTAGTTATGACATAACTACAATCAGTTATAAAATAACTATCATTCTCCCCGAAGCGGTCACCACGTCCAGACCTCGTTACCGTAGCGTCCAAGTAGTCGGCTTCTTTCAGTAAGCATAGGCTCCGTATATCCCGGGTGATTTCTTCGGTTGCTCTCTTTAATCTCACTGTTCTGACTTGTCCATCCGGACGATAATTGACCTCTCTAACTATAGCTTCCACCCAAAGATTTCTGAGCAAGCCAGTATTGTTTACTAACAGTGAGTCTTCATGTTGTGGATTCCTTCTCATTTAACTTTATGATGTTTCCATATACCGCCTCCGGAATCAAAGATTAATGCTATAAACGAACAAATATTCCTTCTGGTTAGGTTTCCAGTAAACTCATGAACTCTGAAAAATGATTCATCCGCTCGGATATTCTGCTCTACTCCCAGCGTTCGTTTACTCATCTCGTTGGATCCGCATAGGGTAACGTTTCCTTCTTTTATTTCATCACTTTTCTGGCAAGATGAAATAGATGAGACCGGTGGGTATGCTACTGTAGCTTTCGCTGTATAATTTTCGGTTCTTATAGAATTATGTTGTGAATTAAGACCACGCCTGTTCTGATGGTTTGACCTGATGGTGTATGTTTGACTCAAAACAGATACAGAACTGTCGAATCCATATGGACATGTTTCCTTCTCTTCGATAGCTTTTCTCTTCAATTCACGACGTCTTCGACAGGCTTCGTGAAACTGGAAAACACTCTTGTCATAAACCATCCCATCCTGTTCGGTGATTCCATCAAATAATGTTGGAAGAAGAGTCTTTTTGTCTTCTAAGGCAGAGAAACCACTTGTACTTACACGAGTAGGACGTGACCGATAGCGATGTGTTTCAGGATCCGAAGTGCGGTCTAATGACTTGCTTTCTGACACAGTTGTCCTTATTCTTTTAGCTTGAGATGTTCCTGATGCAGAATCATTGCTACTACTACATGAATACTGCAGATCAAATTTACTAGGGTTTTTATTTGTGGGTAGTGTACCTTGCTCTTCACAGAATTTTAAAACACAATTAATTTCTACACATTTGAAATCATTAATCAATCATCACTGTTAGACCACCATTAGAAACCTGGAAGCACTGGACGGCCGTTTCGTCCTAGTATGGGACTCCTCAGCAGTGCGCATCCACGACTCCTGCTCCTCGCAGGATTCGAACCCGGGACCTTTGGCATTGTAGGCGAACGCCTTACCATCGGACCACTGGGCCGGCATCCAACGGTGTTAATGTCTAACCCTGTCGGGTGTAGGCAGTAACTACCAAAGACAAATGGGTGAGGTCGCGCAAAATCCCTAGATCAATCAGAGTTAGACATTAACACCGTTGGATGCCGGCCCAGTGGTCCGATGGTAAGGCGTTCGCCTACAATGCCAAAGGTCCCGGGTTCGAATCCTGCGAGGAGCAGGAGTCGTGGATGCGCACTGCTGAGGAGTCCCATACTAGGACGAAACGGCCGTCCAGTGCTTCCAGGTTTCTAATGGTGGTCTAACAGTGATGATTGATTAATGATTTCAAATGTGTAAAAACGCAAACCTCCAAAACTGTGCCCCAACAATTAATTTCGTACTGAGTTGCTTTGCGTAACTTGCTGACGGGTGTCCATTCTACAACGCGATCCCAAATATAACGTAGGCGATACTCTGCTATTGTACCGTGTCGCTGACGATGGGCTAGAACCTCAGCAAGATATTCAAAGTCGTTGCGCCACGCAGCCACTACATAACTACCCACCTCAATAATTGCACCTATTCTCAAAGTTCGTGAGTCAACTAGAGCAACAAGCATTTGTAACCAAATGAGAGTATTAATCAACAGTCTGCCTTTATACACTAAACGCACTACCATCCGTGACCCGCAGGGAGATTCGTTATTCTCTTCAGCACTGTTATTGTGCATATCATTTAACTGGAAATGAAAAGGTCCAAGATTATTACACTTCTGTTTATTAGCATCGGAATTATGAGCTCGGCAATGCTGTCGAATAACTGGCATTTCTCTTTCACCTGCAACTAGGTGGACTTCCGCTAATGTTAACGTTTCTTTCCTTTTACCTTTAACTACTTCCTTTACAGAATCCTCCTGATTTTTCGAATCCTTACATCCTGAGAAGCTGTAACTACTTCAGCCAATGTAGCAAAAGGACATGAAGCAGAATCATGACTTGTTGATGATGATGTCCATAAATTAACCGAAGCATCTTTCGACACATCAGCATTCACAACGCTTGATGAAATATTTGATCCGAGAACACAATCAGATGGAATGTCTTTCTTAGCTATAGCAAAACCTGATAGAACGGTAGGTGACTTAGCTAATTCATTTGATGCTTCGAGTGATGCAACGGAAGCCTCTGTGTGAGAAACATAATGATTAGAAGGAGAACTAGAAAAATCCTGATCTATCGATTTAGTGTGAGGAGGGTTTGTTCCATTCAGGTTTATCCGAATTTTATCATGTTCATTGTTACTTTCCATAATAAACAACTTTGATTTCTTCTCGGAAATGGCCACAACTTGTTTACAATATTCTCTTCCTTTTTGACGTAAGCGTTCTAACTCAATTTCTTTCTCAATGTGAGCTAAACGTACTTTAGCTAATTCTAACTCTAACAGAGGATCTATTCGGTAGCTATTTCTTCTAAACTGGTCTTCACTGTGAGTTTCCGAGCGGTAGGGAGACAATTTAGGAATCTGATCAGTTTTAAGATTCTCCGTGGACATTTGAAGGTACTCAGTATATGAACTTCTGATGAGTTACTGGCCGAAACCGTGTAGGATTTAATTTGTCCCACAGATGTAATTCTAAAACAGTTAACGCAATACTGCCACTCACAGAATCAATGGTAAAGCTATAGTCAGAACAAGGAAAACTTGGTTTAAAACATTATCTGTTTCTAAACAAAAAAACGATTAAATTAGTACAATAAATAAGGAAATTACAATTATCAAGTAAGATGAGCGAATCTACCGGCCAGTTTAGCGTGTCTTTAGAAAATGAATAAAAACATGAGTCACATCTATATAAAATAAAATAATAACATCCTTCAATCGATAGGTCATTCACAACAAAGAAAGTTTGCAGACTGATCAGACTAGATAACGTGGTGAGCGCTTAATCAATCTGATTGGTTAGTTTTTGCATAACTAACAGTTATATGGAACAATCGTGGAATCATTATTTATTCACATGCAGTTTTAAGCTTTGTATCTCGAAGGAAATCAAAGTTTCGTAAAATTGTGCAGCTTGAAGTCCTTCACATACATTTGGTTTTGTTTATATTTAATTTGGTTAAGACATTTTTGTGACTTAATTTACAGACGGTGTCAGAAGTTCAGTGAAATAACAACAAGGTTACTGTGTCAATTAGATAAGATCCTAAACTCACTCTCAGTAACATTGCCAATGAATATCAACGCCCCAATTATCTGCATTGTGACACGTCTATGATTCAGAGTGGTGGGTCTAGTCAATCTGAAGTGCATTTAGTACGACAGACACGTAACCGGAATAAATGTGTCCCTGCTACAGCCAGTCCATTTCACTAGAGCTCAGCCCGAAAGAAGAAAACGAATCCACCTACTCTT